CAAAATTCCCCCCCCCCCCCCGCCTTCTGTCAATTTATTAAATCCATTTTTTTCATGAAATGGCATTTTAATGATAGGAATGAGAAAAAAACATGAGATTACGTGAGAAATAAATTATTTATTTCGTACTAATGCTATTGTTACTATTACAGCATTCGGAGTTTTTCTTTCCGAATCTTTGGAATAGTTCCAAGAACAGAGAACAACTTAGAATAATTATTCCCACGGACCAGTTAGATGGGTTTCGATCGAATTCAGCGTTGTTGCCGGTATCGCTGAAGAATCCGGTACCTGGAGATCTTGATCCCGATGCATAATCGGAAGGGCCCGGATTCAAATCCCAGTCTGGACTATCCATTTTTTCAGTAAAAATTGTCTGGTTATTCATATTGAGAATAATCCCGGTTCCTCTCCACCTCATCCAAATTCCACCCAATCATTTCCTATGACGTCTGAAAGATGTGGAACGCTATATAAATTCCTTTCTTTAATGTTGACTCTTTATCGATCCATTCTGCATCCTGGGCGAGCCCCCCGCCCCCTTTATCGCAAATATCTCAAAATATAGACTCTCCCCCCCCCCTAATCGTGTAACGTAATATTTAAAAGCTCCCAAAAAGAACTGACAACCGTTGAAATTCCCTCGAAAGAACTATTCACCTGTGCCTTCTGTTCCCAACAAGTGTAAAAATAAATGTAAAAATGTAAACAATGAAGCTTCTGTGATAAGAATAAACAATTTTCCAGCAAAATAATCAATATTTTGATGAAGAAAAAATTCTCTTCTTGGTTGATGTTGCTGTCAACTGCAGAACTCGTTGTGAATCATTCATTCGGTTTAGGGGAGGGTGAGACAGTATGGAGACCAGATTTAAGGGTATTATGGCGGGGGCCATAGCTGGAAAAAAAAGCAGAGAATTCAATGAAAATTGCTGAACAGATTATTCGATCCATTTGAAAGCCATGTGCAAGATGTCAAAACCCCTACTTAAACAATAATAATGGGAATAATTTTTGAAGTTGCTACTTATACACGCGGTTGAATGGGGCATCGGTAATTTTAGTGCTTTGATCGATAGATCAATAACGTAGGAAATTCACAAACCATGGCCATGCGGTAAGGTACGCTTATGCTACCAGTATTATACCAGTACGCAATACCAGTACCATATACGGTTACGGTACTAGAATGATACTCGGTAGATATTAGTTTAATACCGGTATGCTGACCAATCAGCATACCAGGTCCAGCTACCCCCTCCTTCCCCACCCCGCTCTGCTCGTAAATAATAGGTGATTGTAATTAGAATTTTTATTCAATAATAATGAGGACAAATGATTCTTTTATTAATTCTAATTGTAATTAATGGATCGAATACAGTTCGCAATGTGGAATAATGGTATTAATTAAATTCAAAAGGAAGGTGGACAGTCTTGAATAATTTCTACCGTCTAATCAGTGGAAATTCTATGAAATAATTCTGATAGAGTTGAGACGAATCCCTTTCCGGAAATCTGATAGATGGGAGGAACGTTTCTTCAGCAGGTCACTGGGATACTTGGGGTGTGCTTTTAGGTTTTCTAGGAACTCGGAGATAGTCTGAAAAATACAGAACGAAAAATTAATCGGAAAGAATATTTATTTTGCTGCGGGGAGGTTACTATTAGTTTCAAAAATCGCGGGATATCACAGTGAGGTTTATCATACAGGGAAAATCGATTATATGTGTCGAAAAGCAAAGAATTAGTACAGAAAAAATATTATCCATTGTTTGTTTGCCATTCAGACACTAAAAAACTGAACAATTGTCCAGTGGATTAAATTTCTGAACACAGAGGTTTCTTTTTTTTTCCAAAATGTTCCAAAAGATTTGTAGATTAACGATTATGAGCTGCTTTTCTCAAATTCGACTTCCAAATAGCTGATTCCGAGACTTTTTTAATAAAATTTTTCAATATTCATGCAACATAGCCAGGAAAATGATCCTCAAAACAATTATAATATTTCACATTAAAAAAAAAAATTTCAAAAGATGTTTTTCGAGTTGTTTCGCATGAATATTGCAGTTTGTTATTGAAAAAAGAATGAAAATGGCGATTTAGAAGTTGAATTTCAAAAAAGTAGCTCGTAATTATTTTGTTCTATGTATCTTTTAGAAAAATAAAAAAAAACCTCCGTAGCTCAGAAATTGATTAGACTGCACTGTTTTTTAGATTTTAAGCATCTGGAGTGCAAACACACAATGAATGATCTTTTGTAGCACTAATTCTTCGTTTCTCAGAACTCATAGCGAGCTGCTCTTGAAGGGAAAGGGCTCCACCCCGCCCTTTCCAGTGAGACACAACCATTTTATTTGTCTCTCCTATAAAAAGCCAATCTGAAACAAAAAAATGATTGAATCTGCCAACGTATTCCGTTTATTGCACAAGAATTCCCCCGGGGGTACTGGACCTGTAACAGAAAGAAGACTCGACCTGAACAGCCCCTCCCCGCTGCTTTTTGTGAAGCCCAACGCAGATGAAACGCCTCCCCCACAAAAAATAGATGAATAACGAGGAAATGATTAATTTAATTGGAAAAGGCCCCAACCCTCCTTCTCCGGCAAGACATAACCAATGCTATCTTGGCACCCTATATCGACGGTTCCTGATAAAACAAGGATCTTTGGATTTTTGTTTTAATACAAACGTATCTTATAATTTCCGAATGAAACTCAGGTAACTCACGCGAAATAAGAAAAGACCTATTTCATTAACACTGATTAAATTGTGTCAACTGATTTAGCTAGCAAAATGTAAATATATAATTTGTTAAGAGGCTTATGCCCTCTGGCATTCTCTATCGATGGTAAATGGGTGGGACGAGTGAAGATAACACAAGGGTGAAACGAGAGCGACAAGTGGAGCGATTACAAGTGAAGATAAGTTGAGTGATTACAAGGGTCAAATAGAGGAGGCCAGTGGAGCGATCGCACGGGTTGAACAGGAGGGACGAGTGAGGTGAAGTCAAGGGACCCCAGGAGAGGTCACAAGAGTCAAATGCGAGAGACTAGTGGATTAATGACCACGATCAGGCAGGGAAGACTAGTGAAGTGATTACAAGGGTCAATTTATAAACAAGATACCTTTGTATGACAAGATAAACCCGAATACTCTCGTTTCAGTAAGAACCGTCGACATATTCGATGATAAATCCCGAACATAATGAAACCCTATGGGACCCCCGAAAAATAAACTCCAAAAAAGATCCATCCTCGCAGATTTCCCACGAAGCTAAAGCCCTCAGCCCTCCTCATCGACCACCGGGATGTCATCATCGAAGAGAGCAAGGAAGTTATCCTCATCAGGTTCAGCTATCTCCCCGTAGTCGACACGACGTCGTTGAGGCGGTGGAGGTTGGTCATCTGGATCGTCTAGGGGATGCAAATCTCTCCGACGCCGACGATTTTCCAGGGCCTTAAAGGCTTTCGTCATCACGTCGATGAATTCATCCTCCGAGGGCCCTTCGAATCTCTGATTCATGTGCATAGCATCTGAAAACAAAATGAGAGTATTAGAATTCTTCTCTCAGATGCTATGAAATAAAACAATGTACGCTAATTACCTCGACAAGCCCTCGTAAAACGGCTGTTCTTGAAGGAGAGTTTGTTCCGTTGAGGCACCCCTTTCCAGGTGACATGAAGCGAGACTTCCTTTTGGATATGAAAAGCAGCGTGGAAATAAGCTCTTGCACATTCCGCTGCATTGGGTTGTGCTAGATGGCAGAAAAATCCAACCTGCCAAAGAAAATGACCATAAAGTCATATATTGATAAATAAATCTCCAATATTCATCCTATTGCATGAAATTTTTTTATTGAAAAAAATGATAAAATCCGAAAGTTGGATGAAAAATTTGGCGTAACGTCATAAGTGTCGACGTTTTTAATCGCCTATAGCTTGTCCATTTCTCAANCCTAGATGGCAGAAAAATCCAACCTGCCAAAGAAAATGACCATAAACAAATCTGGAAAAGTCATATATTGATAAATAAATCTCCAATATGCATCCTATTGCATGAAATTTTTTTATCGAAAAAAATGATAAAATCCGAAAGTTGGATGAAAAATTTGGCGTAACGTCATAAATATCGATGTTTTCAATCGCCTATAGCTTGTCCATTTCTCATTATTTTTCAAAACAAAAAAAATCGTATCTAATATTTTTCATTCAATTTTCATATCCAACAATAAAAAATTTTCATTGAAAACCCCCATGATCCATACGAGATAGTCGAATGTCACATCGGCAGCATTGTTGAATGCTACGAAGTGTGCTAGAGTCCTGAACGGCAAACCCTCCGGTAGATCTTCAGTACGACGGAAGAGCTCCTGATTTTGCCGTCTGATCAATGTCCGATTGACTCTGAAAATAGAAAACGGAATGTA